GCTGTACAGGACTTCTCTTACCTGTATTTTAGCTTGTTTGTTCATCAATAAATTAACTTTTCCCATAAATTCCACAGGTAACGGTGTCTTAATGGCATCTTTTATGGTAGATATTGGTGGGGTTGTCACATCATACATCCAGTCACGCTTATTAGTCATATGCATGGAGGCACCTGAGTCCATATACCACAAATACGGATTCATTGAGAGAATTTTGAAAAAGCTGCAACTAAACTTTTATTTTCTTCTTTTTCTGTATTTTCCTTCTTCGGAGCGCGACAGTTCTTTGCAAAATGATCATATCGTTACACAGCCATCCACGTTCTAAGAATTGTCCAACGTCGTCGTGATGAGGTCTCTCAATAAGGCTACTTTGTTATAACCTGACTTCTTTGCATATAGTCCCACTCTGTTCATTTACATAGTTGAATCTAGCAGTAGAATAAGCTTAGACTTATAGACCGGGAGGCAGCGTACATAGTAACTAAACCATAAGCGACAAAAAATTCGACAATACAGGCTGAAAATACGTTGAAAACTAATAATAAAATCACTCGTCTGCCAGTCGTAAGTGGCAGGCAGCATTAACTTGGGGCGGCGCTGAATAGGTGACTTCTTTAGGTGATCAACTAAATTACCAAACTATAAGGGTCACGGAAAAGATTTGTATCAAGAAATCCCATTTTTTCCATAGTTTTCAAATATGCTATGGCAGACGATTTCAAGTGCAGCGTTGGTAGCGAAAGACGCCCTCCAATGTAGGGAAAAACACCCTTGAACTAAACCATGAGGACCGTATAAAAATTATACATAAAAAATTCCTCTTCTTGTCACTACTTTAAAATATATCCTAGCAGACGATATTAAGTGTAGCTTTAATAGTGGCAGACGTCTTAGAAGTTAAAAAATTTAGGTATAGTAAATCCCAGCGAGTGCGAGCGTGTGAGAGATAAGCGCGCGAGAGCTCAACAAACAGAGATAGCTATAGATTTACGCACCGCTTGGAGTTACCAAACGAAGCAAATTAGAGAAAATAATAAATTGTTTATTTCGCGATAAGATTGTCGGTATTTCTTGAATTCTTCTCAGACTGAGAAACAGAAAACTTGAAGAGAAAAGAAGATAGATCTTCAGCTCGTTCTAAACTATCCTCTGACTCCAGTTCCGTTGTCTCTATGCAACATTGATGGATCGATGATTAAAATCGACAAGTTTGTTTTGCTGAAACTTTTTCGGAAGTATGATTTCTTCAAGTGCTCCTAGTCCATCGCCAGTTGTAGATGTTGTTTTAATCGATGGATTATTTTTTTTTCATCTTTTAAAAGATCTCCGGTAAACCTTTGAGCGATTTTCTGAACACATCCTCGGCAAGATTTGTGCTGTGTCAGCGAGAGAAGTACATCTTACTTTTGACAGACAGTAACCCCTTCCATGAAGGACGCAGAACATGATCGTTGGGATCAAAATAAGGAAAGATTACAATCCTACTCCATTTCTGTTTCCACTCAGAAGCAGCCTGCAAATTTCATAAAACTTCGCAATGATAGCTCAAATCCTCTCTTATAGATTACTTATACCGTTCATAGGCAAAAAAAAGACCTGTTGTGCTTTACTTGGAAGGAAAGTTGTGTTTGCCACATATGAAGATAAGTGCTATAAATTTGTGACAAGGGAAGATGATGTGGTAAAAACTGAATTGTGCTGCAGCCACTAAGAGGCAGATTCTCGAATAATTTCCCATCTTGGTAAACTACCAACAAGTAGCAAAGTCATTATTAGCGCTTCCGATATGGATATTGGTGTTATTGCTTTGGGAAATGTAAAATTGACGCTACCATCAAGGTATAGATGGAAGTAGGTCTCTTTTCCAATAACACGCAGAAATTCATAAATCTTCGAGAGATGTTCGTGAATTTGGGTGTTGATGTGTGTAACGCGCAGGGTAACGCGTTACCGGGTTCCCACGCATTTACCGGATGTATGACTTGTGTATGGTCCCCATGGTTTAGTTCATCGCAATTTGAGCGAATGCCACCGAAAAATGTCCCAGTTTCTACAATCCGTTTGATTGAAGTGGATGGAACTATGTGAATCAGAAGTTTAGAATGAAATGGTTTGAAAGATCTCAGTAGTCAGTATCCTATCGCTATCTCTGTTCGTTATGCTCTCGGGCGCTTATTTCTCACACGCTCGCACTCGCTGGGATTTACTATACCTAAATTTTTTAACTTCTAAGACGTCTGCCACTATTAAAGCTACACTTAATATCATCTGCCAGGATATATTTTAAAGTAGTGACAAAAAGAGGAATTTTTTATGTATAATTTTTATACGGTCCTCATGGTTTAGTTCAGGGGTGTTTTTCCCTACATTGGAGGGCGTCTTTCGCTACCAACGCTGCACTTGAAATCGTCTGCCATAGCATATTTGAAAACTATGGAAAAAATGGGATTTCTTGATACAAATCTTTTCCGTGACCCTTATAGTTTGGTAATTTAGTTGATCACCTAAAGAAGTCACCTATTCAGCGCCGCCCCAAGTTAATGCTGCCACTTACGACTGGCAGACGAGTGATTTTATTATTAGTTTTCAACGTACTTTCAGCCTGTATTGTCAAATTTTTTGTCGCTTATGGTTTAGTTACTATGTACGCTGCCTCCCGGTCTATTAGCCGTTGTTCCAAAGTACGAAGAGAAACAGGTTTTCAAAGCAGACGTGGAATGGAACTGTGACTAAAATTTTGAAAGACAAAGGGAACGTAATAAAGGTGCTGACAAAAGTGGAGCAAGTTTATTTGATTTTATAACAATTATTTAATTTTTGATGTTGATGATATTCTATGTATTTTATAACACACCGCTGTGTCGCTATTGGTTATAGATATTTACCTTTAACAAAGTGTAAACTTAGCATTTTCATATTCTATAAACGGTATACAATTTGCAGCACGAAAAGCCCTGCTACGTTTGGGACAAATGATAGTATGCTTGAGGGGAGCTATTACGGCACGTAGCGGCTTAGACGGGATGAAATATATTGCAACACAGGGTTGGTGGAAAGTCGGTATAACCAAATATAATTTATTCATTTACGCAATACTATTTTATCTCTTAGATCCATCTTATGTGAACAGAATAATAACATTAATCCCATTGCCGAGCCGTAGAGAAACGCCCCACACTAAAATTAGAAGCATCTGTTATAATTTTAGAACTTATCTACGTAACCTTACGTTAAGATGCAATACTTAAGTATTAATGCGAGAGTATATTTAACTTAACGACAAAAGGTTATGTTTACAATCCAGATTTATTACATACTAATTGAAAAGGTTTCCTTGACTGTACCAGATGTCATCCTCTTAACCTCTTCAGTAGAAAGGAATACATTACATTACATGCTATCGATGATAAGCAGCTTTTTGTGAGGGTAACATGCACGTTCATATTTTATGGCACAATAAAATATACGTATCTGTACCTACTAAATTTTCATTACCTGCTACCGTTATTAAAATCAACATGGAGTTAGTAAGTCGTTTTAACTCAAAATTCATTACCTTGGTTAATAGAAAACAAGGAACATTGAAACCACCTTATTAAAAGTTTAATTTCGTAAGCTCTTTTTGTTCACTCCCATTTAATAAAGCAATTGTTGCTTGGATTTTAGGTAATTACCTCACCCTCACTTAATTTCGTAGGGTTGTGTATTTATTGGACCTATACTAACATATATACCATTCTCACTCTCTTATTCTCTTTTTCCAACTTTTTTCAATTGAAAAACAACTCAAGTGTCAGATAGCAGGGTTTTTCAAATGCCGATCATTACTTATGCAGAACTCCATCGGGAAAACATTTTATAAAGCTGGAAACAGTGGAACATACGCGTTGATTGTTTCTCTGTAAAAATAAACCAGTTTGGGAAGTTATCGCCGTTTTTACTGGCCCGCCTATGAATAATATAAACCTTTCATGCGCGTAACATGCCAATTATCCGCGTCAATTTCAATTTTTAATGGAACATATCTCAACTTGCCCTACATGCACGAATTATCTGCGCTTCCTTGTAAATTACTCTGAAGTTGGAAAATCATTCTATGCGTCTCCAATGCAATGGTCTTCGTTATTAATAAAAGCAAGCCGGATGCTGTTCGTTCATCCTCAAGGTTTTGTGGGTTGATGTTTCATGTTTCAGTTAAAATTATCTGACAGCTGTACTTCTGAATGGATACATTTGTTTCCATGTCAGATAAGTTTGACGATAAGAGGAAAGTATAACTACTTTTTGTTAAAAATGTGTAACTTTTTTTTATTAATTCGTGAAAGTTGTTCTAAAATTGCATTCCTACAAGAAACAATAAATTGGTATAATCGCTTCAATAAAATACTATACAACTTATATTTAGTGCTAACACACCGATTACGATAATTGCCAATTGGGGCATTCCCTTTACTACAAACTGAGCTACAAACACTTCGGCGCAATTGGTAAGCTTATATATACAATGAGGTGATCTTTGATTTTAATTATAAATTATAATAAATTATATTATAAAAGACAATAAATTAAATGAATACATTGGCCAAAGGTTTTCCACTTCAGTACCAGAAAAACGAGCATGGCTTTTGACTTCGTAGGTTTTACCTTACGACCATTAAAATCAAATCAACATTCTAAGTAAATACCATTTTCAATATAGAAAAAAAAAGAAGGAAAAGTAATATTAGGGGCTGTAACCGAGGAACGATTAGGAAATTGCGGTTATTGACTGCCTTACTGAACTTCCACGAACTGGAATCACTTATTGAAATCAAATCAAAGGCACATGCGAGCGACTGGCACAATACAAATGATTAATCGATTATAATATTAAGTTACGATAACCCGAATTATATATACTTTAATTTACAATCGCACCTTTTACTTATAACAGTATTGATCAGAGCACATAATGTTAGATTGTAACAATATTTGCACAACTGTTGAATTTTCTTTAGCATACTCGCTGGTATTTACCATGAAGCTACGTCAAATCCAAATACTGGAGGCACTTTGCGCTACACGTCATCAAGGCTTCGATCATCTTGCTCTTGGCGAAAAACGAAATTTAAAGGTAAGTAGCATTCAATACGTAAAACTAAGTTTATCATTGCTGAAACGGAATAATAAGGACAGAAACTTTACGTCTACAAAGCTTTCTTATTTAATGCAGTACACCCTTACGTTTACAAACACTATTTTTATGCCAAAGTATAATACGTGTTAGGAACTTTTTACTCGCGTCTATAATTAAAGTGTTTACATCTTAAAAAAAGTTTATTGTGGTTGTATCCTTGGCCATTTTTGCAGTTAATGAGGTATACTGCATATTTTTAAAATAGTGTTATTGCATATATGTCGTAATCAATCACTTATTACTTCTTAAGATTGGTAAAATATCTTCCAATAGTCTATAAAAGAATATGGAATGGTATCCAAGTTGCTTACATTGCTTACTTTGGATTAGTGGTGGCACTAATAAACTGATGCGGAATTTGCGATGCGTATTTAAGACTAGAGATCAAACTCTTAAACCTAAGTGTAAAATCACCAAGCGTCGGTTTTCTTGTCTTAGTTAACCATATCTGATGGATAGCTTTCTATCTGAATACATTTGTTTTAAGGGAAATTAACAATAATTTTCCATAAAAAAATAATAACATTTGAAAATGAACTGTACCTTATAGAAAATTCGATTCTAAGCAAATTCATTTTTATTCATTTTTTCCCGCAACGCGATAGTTAACGATACAATTGAAGCAAAATGCGAAAAGAAGTGACATTTTCGCATTTTTGGTACGTTTTTTGTTTATAACAACATGTTCCCGGAGTTTCCGACCCAGGGGGACTGTATGATTTTCCAATTCAGCGGATTTTTTACATGGAATACACTTGGTTTCGTTGAGCGCAATGATAACATCCAGCCCAAACCGCAATTTGACTGGACTAGTTTTAATTAATTTTCTGTATTGAGTTAATCTTTCTCACAAAGATAACTGGTCATGGGATGGCGGAACTTCCTCCTTGTGTTTTAAGTTAAGGTGCATTCGTAATCTTTATTTATGCATAAAACACCTAGATAACCGGTGACTATGGGCATGGTATTCTATTTAACTGAGACCCAAATGTCTGTAGACATATTAGGGTTGTCGTATAGTTGACAAATTTTATTTTGACATCTGGGACCACATCTCGAGTATTATTTCCCATTCTTTTTACACGATTTCTCGGTAACTAATTGAACAATTTTGAAGAACTAAAAACCGTTGTGTGAGTAATTAAAACCCCTTCAGAATTATAGGTCATTACACCCATCGTTACATTAAAAAAATTAGTGGGGGGGTTGCAACTCCTAGCACATGCTTAAAATTACAAAAATATTTTTACATGAAAATTGGCGCCCCTCGATATATCAAGCCGGTTTAAGATCCTACTAAATTTCAAACGGTCGCGATTTTGTTTCTAAGGGACGCAATCCCGTTTTATTATGTAATAATAATGAATTCTCGTGTATTAATCAATCAAATAAGACAAATGTTATTTGAATACATGTTATAAATCAAATGCGAGATACGAGTATGAAATTGGCCCAATGTCAATCTTTGGCTTCAGATGGACACTAATTATAAGTTATATACAATAAAAATAAAGGTGGTGGTTTAACATTTTGGATACCTCAAAGGTGATCCTCAAATTTTTTTTACAAATTAAAAATCACGCGGAACACTTTTTAATTTAAATTTGTTGATTTTTGGACAGGTTGCCCATTATGTATGGCATTATATATAGCATATATCTCGGTAAATAACGACTATATAAAATTTTTATTTTTTATTATTTATGGAGTTTTTTCTCTTTTCGATGACATAACATGTTAGTACCCTTATACAAAGAAATTTTTCAAAAAAATGTAGAAAATACTATAAGTAATTACCTACACCAATAACATTAATCAGATATCCTACATCAAAATATAACAAACGGGGTGTCAATTTTAAAACTTGCAGCCATATTTTGCAAACTAAAGATATTGAAAATCGCGAAAAACCGTTTCGGAGGTATCGAGGGGGAACTAGAATGACGTTATGAGTGACAACCCCCCACCCACTTTAATAACGATTTTACGCGATTTTCAATATCTTCTATAGGTTGGAAAATATGGCCGACTGCAAGTTTTAAAATTGACACCCTGTATAAACGTGTACGTTTCTTATTAAAGCCAAAACGAACTCGGCAATAAAATGGTTTTCATGGTAATAAGTGTTCAAAATATTCGCCAAGGGAAGGACCTAACCTATCACGAAAAGTTTGAAATGAATGTCTGGGAGAAAGTTCTCATGCATTTCTAATTTAGATTTGTCTTCAAGGTTGAATAAAAAAAACGCACACGTTCGCAGTTGTTTATTTCGATGTAGGATATTCAAATTAATGTTATTGATGTAATTACTGAATAAAGAGTATTTAAGATTGAAAAATTTTGTTGTATAAGGGTCTCAACATTTTACGTCATCGAAAAGAGAACAAAAATTATTATCAACTGAGCCTAATGAAAGAGTACATTGCTATTTAAAGAACTCAATTGTTTTTCGCTACCCATTTGTTGTGTGAAAGAAAAACAACTGAATCAAATTAATGCTGCCTTATTATGGGAAACAACTTTTATTCAAAAAATGTTGTAAACCAGTGGTTATTTTCAGATATATTTAGTATATTTCATACATAATGGGCACCCTGTATGGATCGAGTCGGTACTTTTGAGCGAACTCGAACTGTGTAAGGTGCAATTTTATTACGTGAATGAAATGTTTGCTGTCGCGATTTTGTACACACACTTTTGATGCTCGTTTTGATCTCGAGTTTTTTCCGTTTGAACGAAACTTTCGTGTATAAATAAAAGTATCCGATAAAAAATCAAGTGTTGTGTATTTACCCCCAAGTAAAATTGCATGTATATCATTCTGTACGTATAGTAGGCGTGGATGAAGTCATTAACGATAAACTTACGCATCTAGAATGCTTGGGTCGTTATCCGAGTCAGCAGAACACCTCACTGACGCGGCGCGGCAGTGCCGTTTAGGCGACACAAATTGCACTGTAAACAGAGGATGCTGCTCTGCCATTGCTTTAAATGGGATGCCAATCTCAACATTCCGTTGGTTCCATTTTGACTTAATATAAAAAGCGAAGCGCATAGCCAGCGAGAGACCTAGGTGCTATATGAAAGCGTATATCTTGTCCGCGCATTTTTAATAGTTACAAAAAGAAAAAGCAACAGTTCTTTGCGGAAATAAAAAATCATTATCATTTAAATTTGTTGATTTTATATGGCTCAAGTTGGCAGTTTTCAGCGAACTCCTTCGGTTTTCATAATAATTGAATAAAACTAAATTTTGCAATTTCTTATTTGTTTATTCCACAAGAAAAAATCATAGAAATAAGGGGATGTAAACGATTTTTAAAGATTGTTTTCAATGTCGTCTTCAATTTGGCATACAATCTTTCCTATAGAGATCTTTTTTCACTAAAATGATGTACAACAATTTACGGTGTTCTATTACACTTTGACTACTATAGAAACGCTACTTATTTAAGGCATGTTTTTTCTGTAGTATATCAAAGAAACCTTATCTTTTCCAATGCACGCCTTTTTCGAAAGATAAGAAGAATTAATACCTATGGAACTATTTATACCGCCCACATCATCAATTTGTCGTATGTTAAACTTTAACGTTTCCTATAAGTCTCATTTAATTTGGAAAAGGATTCTTTTCTTTTCATCCGTTGCATCGGAGTAGAGCAGGTATTAGGAATTGCAATTTCTTATCAACTTTGGATATCGTAATCCGATTTCTTAAAACTAAATACGTAGGTACCTTATAGATATACGTACGAAACCTGGTCATCCAATTTTGTTCATTTTATTAAAGACGGTAATCCACGTCATAAAATTGTTATATAGCTATATCTGTAGAATTTACGCCTCCGCGAGCATAAATTTTTATATACCGTGCATTTTCCCAACTTCAAATTTGCTCACGGATTGAAACAAAACAAGTGGAAAGGTTATGAGTTTACCATAGTAATAGACTATTTAATATGCATTACAGATTTTCTCGTCGGAATATCTGGGTAAAGTTTTACGAAAATATTAGATATTTAACGTGTAATTTACCAAATACCTACGTATACTTGCGAACTGAATTTACTTTCATGGTGGAACATCGGCGAATATTCTTGTTGCTAATTTTAGCAACATTAATTCCTCGTTCCAATTTATACTACAGTAATTTTGCTTCTTTATTTTGCAATAAAATAACTAATCCGAGGAAGCTTCAAGGTATAATTAAAGGGATATCTGCGGCGTATATTATTAATTAACATGAATTAATCAATGCTTAAACTGCTTCATTGTGATGATCTCGAAATTGCTAGAAATAAGGAACTTGAAACTTGGGGGGGGGGGGTATTTTAGTATGATAAAGGACTACCGTCCTTCCACAATCAGTTTTCCTCATTATAAAGATGGAACATTTGAAAACAGAAATATATTACCAGGTATATTACATTATCAGAACAAAAACCCTGCAATTTACAATAAAAATAGCATTTTATTAAACCTATAACATAATGAAACATTGAGAACTGATACAATTGGTACTTTCTAGAATTTAAATACCAGTTTATAGCAAATGCTCAAATAAATGATCACTGCGCAATGCCCATCTTGGACTGATAACTTTACCTATTGTTATATGTAGTACAAATTCTCTTTGTCGGGTTATTTCACCTCCCGGTCTTCAGATTTTCCCCAAGCTCCTTTAAAATGCTTTCGAAGTTCTTTTAAATTTATTTTCAACTCTTCCTAAAGTTCTACTTAAATTCTACAGTTCTCAAACCATCTTCACGTTCCCCTCAAGCGTTTTTCTTTGAAGTTTTGTTCTCAGGTTCGCAAGAATTCCCCAAGTTCACCGCTAGTTCCATCAATTTATTGGAACAATGTAAGTGAATGTATAAGCATTTCGTTAATGCAATGTTTGAATCTAACGCACTCTTTTCAGAAACTTTCACCACGTC